ACTTTTTGTCGGAAATATGAGAGATATCGAAAAACTGTTAACGTCATTCTATTTGTACTGATCTTGTCTATGTCGTTCATAACAAATAATGTGAAACTAGTTGGTTGGTATTTAGCCTTGAGGCAAGTTACATGAACTTCCCGATATATGTAAATAATCGACTTAATCAATAAAAAATAAATTAATTTATGAGTGATTAAAAGTATTCCGAGTGGATTTATTACACATAATTGAAAACGAACAAACACGTTAACTCGGAGTATTTTATAAAGCAAATTTTCAATAATCAATAATTTTTTTTAATTGAACCAGTTTCCGTTGGACTTTAATGATTATTACGTTTATTAAGACCAGTACTCTATCGTAATACCAAGTGAATCGTCTAATTTTAGTTTTTAACAAACGTCAAAAAAACTTCTCATGTTCTCAAACTTTGATGAAGTTTTAAAATTAAACTACTTGTCGTAAGGCCGTAATATTTCAGTAAGTTCTATAAGACCATGATGTATATTGCCAAAAAAAAGTTCCATAAACATCGTCTCAATTTTTTCTCAACAGTTAATTACAAGAAAACGGCTCGGTAGATTTTCACCTAAAACTAATCAGTATCATTCCCAACTAATATCTTTCGAAAACAGTTTTTGATTTTTAAAAATCGGTTCGGTAGTTTAAGGTAAAAGTGGACGAAAAGTTTAAACACTTTTTTCAAATTACATAGAAACGGCTGGGAGATCGTTCACAAAACTGACAATCGATAGTTCTCATTAAGATATATAAATGGCTTTTAAATTTCTGAAATCGGTTCAGGCGTTTTTAGAAAACGTTGATCAAAGGTTTAATTTTGACAAATGCCAAAAAAACGATACGAATTTTGCAAACTTTGAAGATTTTTAAAATTAAACGACTTGTCGTAGGTCCGTAATTATTTTAGTATGACCTGCAAGACTGTGGTATCTACCGTCAAAAAAATTATATAAAATCGTCAAAATTTTTTTTTTAAACTTTATTACAAGAAAACGGCCCGGCCGATCTTACCAAAAACCAATCAGCACGATTTCCAACCAATATCTATCGAACAGTTTCTGAATTTTCAAAATCGATTCAGAATGCGCGGCTAAACGTGGACGCAATTTTTTTCACTTTTCTGCGATTTGCAAAGAAACGGCCTGTCCGATCGTTGTACAAAACTGAGAAACGATAATACTCATCGAGATATATCAAATGGTTTTAAATTTCTGAAATCCGTCCAGCCGTTTTTGAGAAAACGGCGATTTACGGCAAAAAATCTGTTAGTGCACACGCACACACACACACATACTTTTTCCAAATTTGGTCTCATTCGATTCAGAATGGCTTGAAACGTCGAGAAAACATAAAATTAGCAAATCGAATTTTTTGATGAAAACATAAACTTCTCCTTTGGGAAGTTAAAAATGTACAGGCTTTCGAAATGCTAATATAAAAGTAGTCCAAAGAGCTGCACTAGTAGAAAATGGAAAATGAAAAATCATTTTCACCTTTTCACGCACTAACAAATATTATTTCACGTTATTTGTTATGAACGACATAGACAAGATCAGTATAAATAGTGAATGCTTCCTTCAAATTACTCAGTTTTATTTTAATGTTAATTGGTTCACGGTTCAGCAAGAAGAGAGTTATTTTTACAGAGTCTCGACATAAACATGAATACTAGATGGCGGATACATCTTTTGAGTAGGGAAAGGCTATGCTAACATTACTAATAGTAATGGCAGGACATTTGAATTAATAGGTTGTCAATATCTCCCTTCCGCCTTTTTGTATTATAAACCTAGAGCAAAAAAGCGGAAGGGAGATATTTGACAACCTAATACAAATATATATATATATATATATATATATATATATATATATATATAACATTATTTCGACATTACACAAGAAAAATGTGACAAACCATTTTGTCCAAATAGAATGACGTTAACAGTTTTTCGATATCTCTCATATTTCCGACAAAAAGTGAGTTTGAAAAAAGGGGCCACTTTCACATGTTTTCATTGATATCTCGGCCAATGATGAGAGCTACGAATTTGAAATTTGGTATTTCGAATTTAATCGAAAATACCTATAAATGGCATCAAAATTATTTAAATACCAGGGTGGGGCCAATTATGTATGGAAACACGCCCATACCTAGTGTTAGAAGTATCGAGGCAAAGTATCGATACCGAGTACTGAAAAAAGAATCGCGGCAAAGTATCGATACTACTCAGTATCGAATTTGAGTACTTTTCACCAAAATCAAACATAAGTGCAAAGAGATCTAAAACTCTCAACAATCGAATTACAATATTATGATAAATTCTATTGCTTGTATTTAATGCTATTAAATCAGCCATCATTTCAATATTTTGAAAAGTTTAAAACAATAATTTTTCGATACTAATTTCAAATTCGATTTATATCAAAAAGGAAAATATTCAATAATTAAATAATAGTAATGTTTTGTGACAAAAGTATTCATTTATGAATTTAGTATCGGCTATTTTATTTCAAAAAGAAAAATACTCATTAAATAAAAATAGTATCGTTTTGTGACGAAAGTATCCATTTATAATAATAGTGTCGGCTAATTTATATCAAAAAGAAAAATACTCAATAATTAAATAACAGTAATGTTTTGTGACAAAAGTATTAATTTATGAATTTAGTATCGGCTAATTTATTTGAAAAAGAAAAATACTCACTAATTAAAAAATAGTATCGGCTTTTGAAATTAATATCGCAAATATAATAATTTCAATGACCATAAGTTAGTATTTATTAAAAATAAAATAATTTTAATGGAGATACTTAACGATTATAAAGTAGTATTTATTTTAGAAAAATAAGTATCGGCTTTAGAAATTAGAATCGGAAATCGAAAGTCTTAATAAATTATTTAACCAAAGTTGGTTGTGTGACAATTTCACAGACAACAAGACCTTTGCATTCAATATACAAAACAAATCGTTGATAAACATATGTTCTCGGGGGTAACAGAAATTATATTATGGACATATA